TTACCTTGCGGTGGTTCTGACAGCACCCAAAATTGGAAAAACACAATTGTTTTTGCACGAAATCAATTTGAAAACACAATAAAACATGATTCTGTCGCCAGAATGAAAGGGGGACAACTCATCTCGAGTTATACTTATTATAAAACCCAGGTTGTTTGTGTGTGTGTGTGTGTTCTTTTATATATGGGATCAGATTTCCTACATTTTTCAGCTGATTTTAACAAAACTTGGCAGGCAGTGTTTCTTATTGTCTTACACACTTTTTTCTTTATTTTTACATTCAAAATGCTTTAAAAATTCCATTTACAAGACAATTGTTTATAATAAAATTCTATTCAATCATAATGATTGAAAACAATGTTTTTGTTTGAGTTTGACCAATTCGTAAAAAAAAAACAAAAAAAAAACTAATTAAGACATGCGTGTCTATCAACCTTAAACAATAATCTTTGTCAATTTTATTTTACAGTCTTTATGATGGTTGATACTTGATCTATCTCTTACTGTTACATCCCTGGGCAATGCTGGGTTCTACTGCTAGTTCACTATAAATGGCTTGCAGATCCAAGCACACTAACCATAGCATTAACTCTTTGTTAGTACTGTGGGATTTTCAAACACCCCATTTAAAATATTAGATATATCATTTTTGTTCATAATTTTCTTGTCATATATTGTCTTGACTGTTCCTACTGGTTGTTATAGGATGAATAAAAATGAAAAATACAATGGGTTTTATTTTGAAAAATCAAATTAAAAAGCTAAGATTAATAAATAAATTTCTAAAATCTTAATATGCAAAAATAGGTTTCATTTTATTTTCAATATGAACTTTTAAAACAATTTATGATCAAGCTGACTCTTCTACAACTGTTTTCCCACATTTTGAGCAATGAAAATGGTTACTGTGGTCTGACAATTTTCTACATGTTTCTACTACAATTTTTTTTTCTTCTGGCTTCTTACTTCCCAGACAACTTTGTTCTTCAAAATTAAAATGCAATGTCTTCTGTCTTCTTAATTCTTGTTCTTTTATTGTCCTCTCTCCTTAATAAGTACTTTTCTCATATTCTCTAGTACTAGCAACCCCTTACATCCTTTGGCTTTATTACCTTGCTTGGGGTAAAATGATTTTTAAAAAATTATTAATCTTTACTTTATGGTCACTTGCTTGTAATTTACACAAATATTCTGGTTAAAACCAGAAACTGCTTGTAGTTACTTGACAAAGGCATTCAGAAAGCTACTTGACTAATCATAAAAATTTGACTTGACACTTGCTAAATATTAAAGAAAAACATTTAGAGCATTCAAACATTCCACAGTACTAACAGAGGGTTAAACAAAGGAAATTAAAGGGTTTACTGTATGTACATGGCTTTTGTTTTGAATAGGTTTAATGTGTAAATAATGTAATTTACTCAATGAAAAAGGATGATTCGTACAAAAATGCAATGAAATTGATTAATGAATGGAAAATTGTCATATTTTGGATAAAATATAAACATGCCCTCATTTGTCATGGTTTTGCACAACTGCCTTTTTGGAAAAATAAATAATCCGCTGCAAATACAATTTCCTTTAATACTGTTAAAATTTCTAAGACAAACCCCAAACTACAAACTCAGAATCCTTGATTAAGGTACTGGCTCTAGAAAAACAGTAAGATGGTTTGTTTCCCAAGCCAATGCCTTTAAGTTCAATCCTATTGGATTTCATAGCATTAGTAAATATTGACGGAGAATCCTTAATCTGGACAAAACATGAACTTTAAAACATAATATCGCAAAGTATGGAGTCACTACATACTCTGATAACAAAGAGTTAGCAAAATATTTTTAGCTTTCTTTTGCTGTTAAAGTATGGATTAAATTTTTGTTTTTATTGCTTGAACAAAAATTATATACAAGATGTGGTAGAAATATCTACCACATAATGGTAAGATATTAGTGGCAATGATGTCTTCATTGAGCTAATAATATCTTACCATTATGTGGAAGGTATTTCTATTGCACCCTGTACATTTCTAAATATCGATCAATTTATGTTTCTAAAAATTCTTTTGACCTCTAATTAGTAATTTAAGTAAAAGTTAATAATAAGGAAGATTTCATCAGTTAATGTTCTGTCAAAATATCAGTAATATAGCAACAGCTCAAACTCTTAATAAATAATCCCAAAATGGAAGGTTTTCAGATTTGGGAATTTTTGATTAAGGATTCTCAGTTTCTCATTATTAAATAGCACAACAATCATTTTTAGAACTTATTGCTTTCAAATGGTAGATCAATTTTTCACGTACACCTTCATTTCTTGGAGCTCAACGAATTCCCTGGCTCTATCATTCTAGGGTCTGATAATAGATTTATATTATGGTGCGGAGGACCACAAAACAAAATGAAATCTACTTAATGAATCATGAGATAGATTCAGTAAAATCATTGTTTTATGTTATTTTTTGTTTTAGAATACCATTGTTATATGATAAGATGGCTTTAAATTATCAACCAACCATAGATACCAATCAAACAATAGTGAAATCTGACCCTTCTATATAGACAAGACTTAACATTAAATTCTTCATTTTTGTTTCTTCTTAAAATGCTTAGACATTCTTATTCATGTTTGGACTGCTGCCCTTCCAACTTCCATTCTAGGTTCTGCTGCAATGTCAACTGCAACTCCAGTGTCTACAGCCTGTTGTCACCTTATCTGCATTTTCTTCCTACTTTGACAGTGACCCATGCCCATATAAGTAATCTCGATGAATATACTTCTTACTTGCACCCATTGCTGCTCTCTCTGCTTCTTCTGCTGCTCTGACAGCAGCCTCAGCTGATTTAACTGCAGCCCGGGCTGCAGCTCGAGCAGTTCTGTCAGCTGCCTGTTTTGTTACACGCTGTATTTCTGCATGAGCCGCTTTGGCTGCAGCTGACATTTTTCGGCTGGCTGTATTTCTTTTTTTCTTTTCATGCCTTTCATTTGCTCGGGCTGCAGCCATGGCAAGTCGATTCATCATTCGTCTTCTTTCCTGTTGCTCTGGGGTCTCCATTGCCCTAGCCATGGCTATGTCCAGACGTTTCTTTATTCTTAAACTCCTTTCAGACTTTTTCCTCTTTTTGGGACCCATCTGAAAAATAAGATGAGGAAATTAGTTTGGGTGACATAACTTCTCATACAAGAGAAAAATACCTGTCTATATTTCTGAGATGAGGTATTGTAATTATTTACATTGTTCAGACTGTTGTCTTCATCTTTATGAGAGAGTTGAGTTAAAGGGAGATAAATGAGACATCTGGAAGAGGCATGGCATGTGAAACTAGAACAATCTACCCCAGTGGATGAAATAAAAGGTTCAGTTTAAAATTCCAATCACTTGAAGAAGTCCAGAATGTACAATGACTGAAATGTGGTGAATATGTCAAGAAAGATGAGGACAACAGTCTGAATAATGTAAATAAGAGAAAAATACATTCAGCTATTAGTTTTTTCTGTTTTATTTTTCCATTAGTCTAGTGAATTAAGATCAGTATCACAAAACTCCAAACTGAAATTTTTCAAATCTCTAAACCACTCATTTTCAAGCCTACTCCTACTTGTAATTAATCTTTATTCAATACAAGTTGACAACTTAGGAAAATTTATGACAAAATGAAAAAAAAAATTTTCAGGTGACACATTTCGCCTTTTAGGAATTCATCAGATTAAGATGACATTTATGTTGATCTAACTACACATGTGCATAAAGAATGAGGGATGCTGAAATTTTAAACTTTTAAATATATTTTTTTTTTACAATATGTGTTTGGGTATATTGTCTAGCCAATTTAATTCAGTTTCTTTTTCTTTTACTGCTTATATGTGTGGTTTGGCCATTTCTTTTATAGTCAAATAGTTTGTAGGGGAGACAACTATGGTTACCTTCACCACACAGTTAAGTGTTATTCATAATACATGCTTTGGCGATCATGTCTCTTTCGATTCATGAGTGACTAGATAGAAAATTTCCCACAAGTAGGCAGCTGTTTATTTCTGCAGTAGACTGGTTACCAACCAAGGCTATAAGGACCCATCTGTCCTGTGATTCAACCCATATCTGGATGAATAAGAATGGATTCATACCTTTTCCAAGGGTATTTGTGCATAAGTGAATTACTATTGTTTTTATCTATCATGCAAATATTTTTCCAGCACATGTTTGAATTGATATTTGTATATCAGCTAAATTTTCAGATAATTGGATACCTCACCATAGAGCAGTGGTTCCCAAACTATTTTTTTCTCTTGGTCACATTTTTGGAATGAAAATTTGCTCACACCTCACCAAATTTTATATGATATAAAGTAAATTTAAAAAAAAAAAAAGAAAAAAAAAAGAAGGTTAAAGGGAAATAACTGCAGATTCAAAGTCAGGACATTATTATTGATAACTCTCTTCTCCAATTTGTGGACCCTAGTTACTATATTCTTAATGCTTGATATAATGCAAAAATATCACAATGATAAAATTGAACTATAATTATTTATAACTATTTATACTGGGACTTATGCATGCAATTCCAAGTAATCCATAATAATATTTGAAATTTTGAAATCATATTTATTTTTCACATAAGAATTTTTTGAAACTGATTCTAAATCTTTGTCTTTTAATCATTACACCTCAGCTGCTATCCTTTTCTGCCACACCTATGAGGCACACTGCACCATTTGAAAACAACCGCCATAGAGCAATGGCTAGCAAGATAATCTTGCAAACAGTAACTACTAAAGTAATTTTGATACTCACTGAAAATATGTTAATTTAAAAAAAATTAATTTTTGATGTCAACTTAATTTTACATTTATTCTGGCTTTTCCACAGAAATGCACCTCTTCAAGAAATAATAAAAATAAAAGTGATCCCCGATGTAGGTGTAAAAAGAAAAAGAACATAAGCAAAGGAAATAATTAATAAAAGGAAAATGTAAGAATTCCTTTAAATTCATATTTTGCAGGCTTACAGTCATATCACATTGAAATTCCAGTTCCCCTACAATCACCAAAGTTAAGCAACATCAAGCCTGATTAGTAATTAGAGGGGTGACCTCTTAGGAATACCAGGTGCTGTAAGTTTGGATGTGCAGGTAATGGCTTGGAATTGGAAAACAGAGAGCTGAGTTCCAATTCCAGTCAGGTTCATTATATTGACTTATGCTCAAATACCCTTGGGAAAGGTATGAATCTACTTCTACCCTCCAGCTACGAGTTAAATAGTAGTATCAGTAAAAATCATTATTTCAAAAAAGTTCTTACAATCCAAAAATATTTACTGGCTGCAAAGTAATAACCTGCAAGAGGTTGATAAGCAGTTATCAACAAATCAATATATTTTACAGCTGTTTTAAAATTAATTGAAATTTTGTATGTAAGCATTTTTTTTATGAAACATAGGAAAAAAGTAAGTCAGAATATGCTTTAAATAAATTGTTTGGATGAACTCTTTACTGTAGTACCATACTTTTTGAATTTAAGCACAATACTGCAAAAATTTAAATACAATGTTAATTGCTATCTACTATCCTCCTGATTACTCTTTCCACTCATTATTAATATTTCTGTTCCTAATTCTTCCACACCCTGTAACCCCGTGTGTCTTAGTGGCTTTATTGCCTTGCATGGGGTAATACTGATTAAAAAAAAAAAAAAAAAAAAAAACAATATACATACGGTGGAATAAGAGATAGCGGCTCAGATTGAGGAATCTGAGAGCTGAGTTCAAATTCCAGTTGAACCAATTACATTCAGTTACGTATGTGTTAATACCCTTGGGAAAAGTATGAATCCTTTTCTTCTCCCCTCAGCTATGGGTAGATATAGGACAGAGAAGTTCTATATTTTTGGATGGCAGTCTAAAAAAAAGAAAGAAAAAGGCAACCTATTGCAGAAAAAAAATATTTTGTCAGTCATCATGTATCAAAAGATACATGATAACCTAAGTGTGTATCACGCATGGCACATAACTCACTGATTAACTTTTACTAACTAGCATGACCAAGAAATGGTTGATTATAAGACAAAAGAACAATGAAGAACTGATCTTTCATTTTAAATCCATCTTGCACCTGTTTACAATATTTAATGGTATACAAAACACTACCATTTTACATTACAATAGTATGTATATATATTATGTTAGATAAAAATGTTAGTACTCCATGATCTCTGGGTAAACATTAAACTTTATTAAATATGGTATTCATGCATTAAACATTGATTATCAACAAGAATATTTTTCTAGAGTTATTTTCATCCTCTTTTGTATATAAAATATTTTTATTACTTTAAACGTCATTATAGTGGACACTTCCCATTTGAAATGGACACCATTATTTATTAAACAGTGTGCATTACATCTGTCAGCTTGCACCTTCAAGAACTAATAATAAAATGTTGAATTAAAAAAAAACATTGATTCTTTAGAAATGTATAAAACTTAATGTGGTTAAGAAATGGGTGATCAGTATAAGACAATGCAAAACTGTTCCCTCATTTTTAGTCCATTTAATACTGATATCTGATGACATATAACCCCATCCCTATTTACATTTAATATTACAATGCAATAAAATTGGGCTAATTGAAGGTACTGGTACTCAATCTGTGCCCTAGAAATTTTAACTGTCTCTTCCTGATGTTAAGCATTTTCCTTTTTGTTTCCATTTTCTATAAAACTTTGTATTTGCTCACATATTTGGTCCATGGTATCCTCAGCACCCTTCTGTAGAGCCACATTTCTGTTGCTTCAGGTCTCGTTTTTGGGGAGACTGTCCAACATTCACTGGCATATAGGAGGACAAATATCATATAACAGTTCAGTACTCTTTTCTTTGTTTCTAATCTCTTGATACTCTGCTTAGCTTTTGTAAGGCATCTTTGGCTATCCTAATTAGCTTTCGAATTTTAGTGTCACACTTTCTGTCCTTTGTCAAAACACTTTCCAGATGATTAAATTTTCGTACCTGTTTGGTTCTTCCAAAATGTGTGATTGGCACTACATAAGTGTTCACAATTATGAGCAAATCATCTGTATGGAAAGTCTTTTGTTGTTTTTTTTTTATTATTTCACCTCCATCCACCCCAACCAAGGTAATAGAGCCACTAAGACAGGGTTACTGAGTGTAAAAGAATACAAGAAAAAAAAACATTATATTACAGATATATAATAAAAAGAACAGGAAATAAGACAGAATTTAATGATTTCTAAAGATCAAAGTTGACTGGAAAGCAAGAGGCTGGAATAAAGTTCCACAAGTGAGAAGTATGAGAGAAAAAAAATATTAGCATAGAACTTACAGTTAAATCTAGCCATTTCAAACTGTAAAAATGATGAGACTTTTTTTTGCCAATCTAGTACTGCATTTAAAAAAATAAAGTCATTAAAACCAAAGAGGAAAGCATCATCAGAAAAATTATGAAAAAAATACTTGTAGAAATTTGCACAAAAGAAGAAAAATGGCAATGGGAAAGTGACTGAAACCAAGATGCCAGGTTAGGACTGATAACATTGCAGATTCTTTGGATTTTATCAAGAATATTTAAATATATAACAGAAAGCACCAGACCATTTGTGGCAGCAATATTCAATGCATGTCCCATAATGGTAGACTTATAAATTTGTAAGATTTATTTGATGAAAAAATTGTAAAAAAGCACACATTTAGAATTTTCTGAAAGCAGAATTTCATTGATTCAATATAATCTTTACACTTCAAATCAGTGGAAAACATTACCCCAAGACAAGGCTAATAGTTCAAATTTAAATAGAACTGTTGGACCATCAGATGTCAAAATTGACAAGAGAATCCATGTGATTTGATCAACCAACAATACAAGTTTGCAAATAAAAATGGAGATGATAAAAATAAAAAACAGATAAAAACATAGAAAAAGGTTAAAAACAAAACATCAAAATGAAAATAAACATATGTGTCTCTCTAAAACAGTTTTTTTTAATTATTGCATGTCAAGCAAGGCGATAATGCCAATATGATGCAACGGGTTACTGGGGTAGAAGGAGAATGAGAAGACTTTAGAAGGAATTAGAAACCCAATCCTAAACAGGAAACAAGGAATAAACTTCTACTTCTGTTCAAAAGACAGGGAAGGAGTGTGAACTGGGCAATAGACAAACCTATCTATCCCTATCAAATTTAAATTAGATTAAATAAAAATTCCCAGAAATGATTTCTTTATTTATATTAATTGATTTATTAATAATTTATTTATTGATACATTTAAGAGTCAAGCTCTTCTATTTCATTAAATGGAAAAACAACTCATTGAATAAAATTATAAACAAATACCACTAGTAAATTTATCTATTCTTATCTATCATCCATATATGTTATACAATATTATTAAACCAAAAGAAAATTGCCAACATAATCAGGCAGGATGAAAAGATATGTGAGAGGAAAAAGTTTGAGAAATCCTGTACTTCAAGGCTAGGTTCTTCATTTTAGGTTTTTTGTTAGATGTGACCCTTCAGTTCATAAAATTTAAAATAGTTTTCACCCCAATTTCCTGTTTTTTATAGCTCTTAGTAATTTTTGCCTTTACACTATCTCTCTTAACACTTGTTCTACCAACTATTTATACAAGCTTATTTGGTAGGTTATGCATTGTTTTCCTCTGTCCCACATTATGTGCCCTAAAAATTTCAACTCTCTTTCTGATTTATTTTTTTGTTTCCATTTTCTCATTGCTCACATGTTCAGTCCATGGTATTCTCAGCATCTTTCTGTAGAACTACATTTCTTTTGCCTACAAGTTTCTTCTTCATCTGCAAGGAGATTATCCAGCATTCACTGCCATATAGAAGGTCCAATATTACATAACAGTTAAGTACTCTTTTATTTCTAACAATATTTTCCTGTTTCTTAATACTTTGCTTAGCTTTGGAAAGCATCGTTTGCTATCTCAATGCACTTTTAGTGTTACACTTTCTGTCCTCCATTAAAGCACTTTCTAAAAATTTGAAAATAGGAGACAGTCTAGACCACGGCAGTTCTAGAGTCTGCAAGAATAGTGAGAAAGGCTCTGGAAAAAATTTGATGAGACTTGCTGTCACTTTATCTCCAGTGATAGCTACCAAACATTTGGTGTGAATAGGCAAAATACAAGAAACATAAATAATAAACTGTTATTTGTTATTGTTTTCAATGGAATTTAAATGACAAAATATAAAGAGAGAAAGGAATACAAAAAAGAGAAACTTGAAAGAGAGAGAGATAAAAAAGACAGAGAGAAATGATAGTGAGGGATAAAAAAAAAAACTTGGATGGAGAAGCAGTTAAGCAACAACAAAAAGTCCAGATTGAGATAAATTTTGTGATGAATATAAGGGGAGTAGGTTTTGTTATGACTAAACATTTAACAAAAAAAAAAATTATAAGATTTAATTTTTTTTTTTTATCTTCTTAGTTTCAGAAGTTGAATGATAACCAGCACCTATTTCAAACTGTTAACATGTTGAATAAATTCAATAACAGCTTTTTATTGTTATTTACTAAAAATTGTTTATTAAAGAACTAATGCTTTTCATAAACTCTTAAAAAACCAATAAAAATATATTTGTCAAATAATAAATTTAAAAATAATAAAACATTTTGTTTATATAATGACAGTCGGACAAGAAAACAGGAACAAAAATTTTTGAAATTTTTAGAAGGAATATCAGTACCCAATTAAACATAAACAGGTCTTTTAAAAAGTGATAAAATTTAATGACTGTTATATACCAAGTCTCATTTTATTCAACAAAATAAAAAAAAAAAATTTAAAATCATCCTTGTTAAAAAAATAACCTAGGGAAGGTTACTGAATAGAATAATCACACAAAGGTTGGTAATGAACGATAATACTTAGGACAAGAACAACACATATAAGATTCACCAGTGGCACATAGAAGAAGTAGTCAACTGCTAGAAGTGAGTCAAGTGAATTCCACAATGAATCTCCAACTGCAGACCAACATACAGTATTTACTACTGTATTTATGTGAATGGGGACATACCCATTATTGTCTGTAGGTATGCTACAACACTAAGCAAGCTGGTCTTATTTTCCAA